ATCGTCACTGATGAATGTCGTTTAGTTGCATTAAGTCTTCTTAAACGTAATCAACATCGTCAATTAGTTGATTTTGATAATCATTTAGATTTAATTTCTAATGATTGGCGTAATCCAAATATAAATAATGAACTACAATCATCATCTTTTTAGCAATATTCTAATCTATCTACATGTTGTTTTTCTATCGTTCTGTTCCACCTTTGTTTTTTTTTATTATTATTATTCTTATAGATATTCTTTTCAAAACAAAAGAAAAAAAATTAGCATAAGAAAATAATAGAAATATATGTTTTCTTTTTTTTTCTGTTTTTGATGAGCATTGTTCGTCGAATAATATTCAATCGTCATTATTTATTATTATCAAAACGATTTCTTACATCAACACCAACAACAACATCAGAATTAAATTTAAGTGATAATTGTGTTCGACGTCTTCAAGCAATTTTTAAAGATAAATCGGAAAGACTTCGTGTTTTTGTTGAAGGTGGTGGTTGTTCTGGTTTTCAATATAAATTTACAGTTGAATCAAATAATAATAATAACAATAATCTAAATAAAGAACAAGATCTTATATTTGAACGTGACGGTGTACATATTATTGTTGATAAAGATTCATTAGAATTATTAAAAGGTTCAACAATTGATTATCAAGAAGAATTAATTCGCTCAAGTTTTCGTATAATTAATAATCCAAACGCTGAACAAGGTTGTTCTTGTGGTACATCATTTTCAATAAAATAAATGGCATCATCAACACTTGTATCAAGTTCTATTCGAGCCGTTAATAAAGGTAGACGTTTAACAAATATCTCAAGTCGAGCTGCAATAACTTTAACGGAATCGGCTGTTCGTCGTGTTAAAGAACTTTTAAATGCTAAACCTGATTCAATAGCTCTTCGTATTGGTGTTCGACAACGTGGTTGTAATGGTTTATCTTATACACTTGATTATGCAAAAGAAAAAAAGAAAATGGATGAAGAAGTTACTCAAGATGGAGTCAAATTATTAATTGATCCCAAAGCACAATTATCATTATTAGGAACTGAAATGGATTTTGTACAGGATAACCTTGCAAGTGAATTTATATTTAATAATCCTAATATAAAAGGAACTTGTGGTTGTGGAGAATCATTCAATGTGTAACACGAACGAAAAATAATCACAAGAAAAAAGTGGAGAATTTTATTTAGCCATATTTTTTTTTAAATAAAATTATCCTGATTTGTTTTGCTTTTTTTGCACACCTCATCCTTCTCCTGTTTTTTTTATATGCTACATAAACTAGCAACTTTAATTCCCAATTATTTTATTTTGCTTTTTTTCAGATGGGTCGACGAGGTCATAAAAAACAGAAAGCATTTCGTCGTGCTGTAAGTTAATTATTTGTTTGTTAGTGTTATATCAAAAATTAATGTCAATAGACGGTCGATGCTATTCGTAAAGCTCGTCTTGAAAAACAACAAGCAAATAATGGACAACCAACAACAAATGAAGACCAAACAACACCAAACGATCGACCACGTGTTAACAAATATGAAGATATTGTTAAAGAAAATGCATTATTTGAAAAATATTATAAGGTAGAAAAAACAAAAATCTTGACATATCTCAAATCTTATTTAATATCTATTAATATGTAGGCCATGAATCTTGTACCTGATGATGAATGGGATGCATTTTTATCAGCATTGAAAGAACCATTACCAGTTACTTTTCGTGTAGCAGGTTTTCGTACACATGCTTTTGCTGTAATGCATCAAATTCGAGAACAATATTTTCAACTACTTGAATCATCAACAACAATTGATAAACCAAAAGAACTTGTCTGGTCTGATTTCAATATTTATATATTCAAATTTTTATAATAGAATTTTTCTTACAGGTATCCAGGCAGTTTAGCATGGCAATTAAATCTTAGTCGAAGTAAATTACGTAGTTCTCCAGAATTACAAAAGCTTAAAGAATTTCTTTATGAACAAACTGAACATGTAAATTATTCTAATTTACGAAATT